TGGCGGGCGGCTGGTCTCTCTTGGAGCCAACTGGCATTGGCTCTGTCGGACACAGGGGAAGCTTCTAGCAGCTTCTCGCATAAGCCACCCCTGTAGCCCCCCCGCTACAAAACCTTGCTGTGCAAGCCCAATACCCCATACTATGGCAATGCAATCCTACCATGTAACTACATAGGCACTGGCAGTATATCTCATCTTTCTTTTGAGAAACTGACAGTGACATCATTTTGTCTCTAAAGGGTTTTTTCTGGTTTTATAACAAGTACCACAAGCACTATCCTGCTTCCCTAATGAAGCACAGTTCGGGTTTGTTGGGTTTTTTTTGCCTAAAAGATGGTATAGATAGGATAACACCAATTTCTTAATACCATTCCAATTAAACGATATGGCAATCAGAAAATACTCACATTTAAACTTTCAAACTATTATCATGATTGAACAGAAGAACAACTACTGTTAGATACTGGACTTCCCTCAGTGAAGCAGGGGAGTATTTCCCTGCATCTGCCCTTTCTTCCTTATCTTACACAAAATAGGTGATTTGATTTCCAATAGCATTAAATCAAAGGCTTTGCTATGCACACATTGGACTCTGCTTTCAACAAGCAGCAATAACTAATAGTAAAATACACATAGTAAGGAAAACAATAAATATCAAATTGGTAAAACAGAGAAAAACTCAGTGCAACAAAGACAGGGATTTAGAAAAATCTGTAGGTGTAACTTGATTAAAAATAATACAGGATTTTAAAATATGCACTTGTATAAAAAAGAAACCACAAGATAAATTCTTCCAAAATATCTTGCAGTTTACCATAAAATAGTTGCTTGAACATTCATTTTCTGTAAGGAATTCTTTATACGTGAAGAGGTGTGACAATCTAATGATATTACGTTAATCCACCCAGGCAAATGCATGGAAAAACCTGATTGCAGATTTATTTACATCCATTCAGAACATCCTAAAGTTCATTTACAATTTAGGTTAAAAAGTCCTCTCAATGTATGTGGCAATTTGAACTAATTTATACACATTCTTTGGAGTGAATTGACTTGAGCCAGAGCAACATTTCTGATACAAAATAGGCCAAAATCAGACAAAACTTGGAATCAGGCTAATGCAGGCAGGGAGGGAGCACGGGAGGTCTCTGGTGGAACCTCCTGCTCACAGCAGCTTAGCTCTGAGGTCAGACCAGGCTGCTCAGGGCTTCATCCAGTCAGGACTTGAAAACCTCCAAGGATGGAGACTGCACCACTTCTATGGGCAACCTGTGCCTCTGCCTGACTGTCCTCATGGGGGAAAAAAAGCGTCTCCTTACATCCAGGCTGAAAATCTTGTGTTTCAACTTAACATCCATTGTCTCCATCTTCTCACCCAGCCCCCTACCATTTGTCCAATGTCTTTCTTGTACTGGGAGCCCCAAGCTGGGCGCAGGCTTCAGACACAGTCTAATGACTGATGAGTAAAGGGGGTTAACTGTGACCAGGGTACAGGTCCCTGGGATGAGGACAGCCCATCTCATTCCTTCAGCTACCTTTTCCTAATGCTTACCAGTTGTTGTTGCTTGCTTCAACAACCAGTTGCTTGTTGTTTGCTTCAACCAAATGTCAGCTAAAACACATTTTTTGTCAAGCATCTCCCCCCAGCTTGTGGCTGTGAACCTGGGTGGGAACTGATGCTCCAAGGCGAGCTTTGCTGTATGCCAGACCCCGCGGAAGAGCTGCTCAAGGCACAGAAGTGCTCTGGCACTCTCCATAGTAATTTTCCCCCCACAGAAAACTGTTCCCTCGCGGCACGGCTCATGTCTGCAGCAACTGGTTGCCAACACCTGAACTATAGGAGAATGCACATTATTTCTTGTCTATTTACTCCTACTGCCTTCCACAAATTATTCTACCAGGGCACTGGTTTCTAAAGACATTTTACCACTACAGTATCACACTGGAGCACAGAAGTTAATACCTTCCTCATTAAAATATTTTATTCATAAGCAAATAATAAAGATGGAGGCAAATATTTGACGAGATGATTGAGTTTTAAAAAATCTCAGAAGAAACAGAAGCAATGCAAGCTAAGTAGTTATGACAATGTCATACACTCATAGAAAACCAGGTGTAATCTTGAAAGTAATTGGAACCTCCTGTGGCCTTGTCTGAAATATAAAAACATACATAAAATGAGGAAATCAGCCCCATAATTAATTAACTATTGCTTAATAAGGCATCAGGAGTGAGGATTGACGTCCCTAACTTCAGATGTCTAAACGCAGGTTGAGCCACTTGCTGTGGCAATAAAAAGCAACAGAAGAAACCTGACAATGTTAAGTCTATATTGGGATAAAACAAATTGAGCTTACAAGTTTTCCTTTCTGATTATAAAGGAGCACAGGACAACCTCGGCATTATGCCTCCCTCCCCATGTTTCACATCCAGAGATGTGTTCTTGGCCCACCACTTGTGTCAAGTGATGCAATTTATCTCAGGTCTCTTTTTCTGCAGTGACCAAGCAGAAATAAGTGGTATTGGTATGCTCACACAGACATTTCTGCCGTTCGGCTCAAAATGGCAACTAATTAAGTCTCAGTAACTTGTTTGTGTGCTGCACCCTCTGTAAAAAACAAAATTTGAAATGCCCCTGAGCTGAGCATTAGCAAAATGACAGCTTACCACCTCTTCATCTGTGCTGTGACTGAAGCTACATGACCAGTTAGCACAAATTCAGAAATGCTGAAGTGAAGCAGTGTGGGTGCGATGCACTGTTTCAACTTCTTCTTACTATCTGCATAACAATGCTGCCCTGGGGTTCCAGCTAAGATCAAAGTCCAACTGTATTACTGGGTACACACATTCATAATTACACTTTGTCTGCTGTGGACCAAAACGCGCCACTGCAGCAACCGAGGATATTCCTATTTCCAGGTGTATACTGCGTCCTTGTATGTGCAGGAGATGTTGTGTCTCTGCAGGAAGGGCAGCAGTAAAGCATAAATGCTACATCTGAACCCCTGCATCTTTCCCTCTGTGGGGGGAGCAAACCAGCAGATACCTGGGGTCCCTTCAGCTACAGCTGCTATATTCAGTACAGCTGAGTCCTAAATAAGCACCCCTTGCTTCAGACATGGAAACAGGTCGTGAACTGGCTTTCACGGTCAGTCAGACAGTCATGGAGCAGCCAGGGAAAAACATCCAAACTGATCCACTACACCGTACTGTCTCCCAAACTAGCTATTAAATCAAAATCTCTTATTTCTCATAGACAAGTCTTAAAATGGGCGCATATTTATGCAGCAATGCCAACGGTCAGCATCAAATATCTGACTAAAGCTGGGGGCAAATCCATGGGGTATCAAGTGCACGGTCTTTAAGACCAAGTAGGTCTCTGGTAAGTCTTACAGAACCAGGGGTAGGGGATGACGGGGGAGTTCTGCTCTATTTACTCACATTTAGGTCATCATACAGGTACAGAAGTGCCAAAGGGAGGGAAAGGAGGAGTAATTCTTTCCCCTACGTTGTGGAACGGTGACAGACCTGAGTTGAAGTGACCCTTACAGCTGTTGAGGTCTCAGCTCACCAGCCAGTGAATCTACTCTTTGCTCAACACAAGCTTCTCCGATCTACAGTCAGTGCTTTACAAATTAACCTTGCTGTCACAGTGACTGGTGGGTGAGGGCTTCTTTTCTTGAGTAACAAACAGCTGGTGTTTGCCTATTTCAGATCCCTGCATAAGCAAATATTGTTCAAGCGCTGAATTCCTAAGCAAGCTGAAAAATGCATTATTTAAAACATGGTTGTGTTCCAGAATTGCACAATATTAATATTGCTAAAGCTACTTAATGCTTACACATCTAATGCATATATATAATAATTTGATAATTTTTAACTGAACTTTTTAATAACTGTTTCCAGTTATTCATGAATTACGGCATGACAAATTTGGACCAAATATTTCATTGGTCTCTACATTTGTGCATATTATTGGTTGCACATTCAGTCTCCTCTTCTGCATGACCAAAAATTTCCACTTTTTTTGAAGATCTGCTCTTCCTTTAGTATCTCCTGTTAAACAAGGTGCACCTCAGTCAGATTTCATTTGTGTTTTCAGTTTGGCAAGACCAGTGAGACATTCATCTCTCCATTTTCTCCTGGCATCCAGGATTTTTGGAACAACTGGAATTTTTTCAGACATAGCCTGGAACAGAAAATTTAAAAATGATTCAGTCTGACGTTCTGAGTAAAAAGTTTTGCATCAGCATTGTTTTCCTGCCTTCCCTGTGTCAGACCAAGTAACCATCCACTCAAACTGTAATTCAGTCCATCGCAAGCAATAGGCTGCTAATTCTTTACATGGGTGACTGGCAATGAGCTAACCTGTATGAAAAGAAAAGTGCTCCCACTTGGAGAAGGTTGGCCTGAATGTGGCAATGAAGGTACCTACAGAAACATTAAAGCATCAGCCTCTTCTCTCGGTTTGCCCCACACAGCCACTGTCTAGTCTCTTTGATAATAACCTTTTATTAAATAGGAAGGAGGCAACCTGGCCACTTATGTGGCTAAAAAAGTGCTCTAAACCAAATTCCTCTGTGTGTGTGCTTAAAGCCGTGATCTCTCTTCTGGCTCCTAATAAATGTAATGAGGGATACCATGTTTATTAAAAACATTTTGTCTTAGGAGTGCCATTATAATCAAAATGACAGGGGAAGACACATAACAAACCCAGAATTATGATTTTGGAATTCCATTATTGAAATATGGGGGAAAGTACAGCACTATTTGAGGACATGGAGGTAGAAGTCTAAACAAGTTATCACACAAAAATGGTATTTAAAACAAAGTGGAAAAAAATAAAGTATTTCTGAGTGCATAATCAAAGTTGTCTTAGAAGTGCCAGTTAAATGTATCACTGAAAGAAGAACAAGAGGTAGTAAGCTCTGGCCAGCTAGTACTTGTAACAGATTTTCTTTCAAAGAAAAAAAGCTGGTTTGAGAGCTCAGGTAGAGATCACAAGGTCATCTTTGCCAAAATAGCACCTGAGGTCTTAGGTTAAAAAGGCAAGTGTTGAGAAACTGGGTAAAACCTGGACCTCCTACCAATGACTGGCAAGTTGCAGTCACCCCTGAAAAAAGTCAGGGGAGGGACAGAGGAGTAAGATAAGAAATGTTTAATGTTTTACTCTTAAGAGGATTCTTGCAAACCCATCTTTGGCACTGAAGACCAAAGATAATAGAGAGACACAGAAACAGACGGTGAAGTGAAATCCAGCTTTCCATAAAGAAACCCAAACTGTTTCATACTAATCAAAAGCTTCTAATTGTGAATAACTCCACAATTATTATTGATTGTTATTATAAGCAGTCTATCTTGTTTAAGCATAAAAAAATCTTTTTTCCTTTTTAACACAGCTGATGTTGAATTTATATAAATAGGAACAAAAAAAAAAAAAAGGAACAAAAATGCTGTCTTCCAGTCAGAGAACTTCCATATACGGAATCAATCTGACAGCTCATCAAGAACAATTCAACGCATGCACATGTTTTTTAGCGAAGCATTAAAAAAAGGGAACTATGAAGAGGCAGAGTTAGGAAATAATACTTCATTTAATTCCTGTGATCATACAAAGTAGTCTATATAGTGAGTCATGGGCTTAGAAATGTTAATAGACAAACTGGGTCCCAATCCAGCATAGCACTTAAATACATCTTATCTTTAAACATGCAAGTAAACTTACCGGACTGCTCATAAGTATAACTTAAATGTGTATTTGCATGTTACAGACTGGAGTTCTAGTTTGTAAAGTATACAAAACCAAGAAAACACTCAGAAGAAAAAAGCTACAGGGTTTATGCCAGAAGATGGAGTAGGAGGAAGACATGGGGGGAAAAGTCATGTAGGAAAGGAAGCTCAGAGCTGTGGTAAGGACAGAAGTGGTAAGAAACAGTGTGGAGGATTACTGTCAATAACCCATAGTTGTTAGCAGCAGACTCCTCTGTCTAGTAATGATGTTACTCAGCTGCTAGATCACTTTCCCTTGATATATGTCAAAGTGCTTTGAAAAGGGACATACATGCATTCTATACTCATCTTTTCAAAGTACATATTCACACAAGAAATACAGACACCTCTAACAGTAAACTGAAATGGTACAAATGTTAAAACAAAAGCTAACAAACTCTGTTATGAATGTCACTGCATTTATCAACTCCATATTTACCTGATTGATTTTCTGCTCAATTTCACCTGAAAATTCTGGAACTGGTCCAAAGGTGTTGAGAACACGTCTCATACCTTCACGGTATCTTTCACAGTAATTTGAAATACCTAAAAATAAGAGTGAAAAATTGCCTTTCAACAGAAAATCCTACTTAAGTTCAATAAGGCTGCCTGTGCTTATGCACTGTCTTAAATCAGAGTCCAAAATGAAGGTGTGCTCTTACGCTTAAGATACCTAATTGTCATCAAGGAAAAATGGATTCTATCTACCACATTTCCATTAAGGTTCATGGAAAAATCATTCAGGATGTGCCTTCATTGCAAATCCAATTAATGCTACATACCAACAGGCAATGCTATATGAGAGGTGTAGTACACAACCATGGATATACTCGTGCTTTGTTACTTGAGACCAGAAAGCTTCCCCAACCAGTGTCCACAAGGAGAGTGCTCTCACGTCCTATCAGTTGAACTTTATTTATTGACCTGGAGCGTATCGAGAGCAGCATGGCTTGGGGAGAAAGGGTCAATGGCATAGAGACCCAGGTGGCCTCCAGTGAACGAGGAACAGATGGATCTTCCAGATCAGTATCTTGTATTGCAACTCGGGTTAACAACAGGGATTTGGCTTTTAGTATCCTCTTTGATGGTTCAGCACTGCTAGGGGGAGATGAGATCCACCTGACAAAGTGGAGAAAACGCATCTTTGCCAAAAACCTGGCCAATGTGGTAAGAAAAGCTTTATATTAGGAAAACTGGAAAAGTGAAATTACAACCTGTAGTCAAGTGAAGAAGGGGTGTACAGGTTGGGAGAAAAAAAAAAAGAGTGCAGGGTAACAGGTACAAGAGAAACCTCAAGAAAGTATAAAAAAAGGCAGGAGTCCACCTCTAGTGCACGTGCACAAATGCACGCAACCTGGGAAACAATCAGGGGAAATGAGAGCTCCATGTGTGGTCACACAACTACATTGTTGGAGCAACTGAGGTGTGGTGGGATAGCTCACACAGCTGGAGTGCTGCAGTGGACAGATACACACTTCAGGAAAGACAAAGAGGAAAGACAAGGAGAAGATGTGCTATCTCTGTAAAGGAGCAGATGTATGGAGTGTTCTATGGGATGGGCGACTGGCTGGGTGAGAGCCTGTTGGTCAGCACCAGTGGAGATGCCAGTAAAGGACAGCATCCTCCAAAGGCAAAACCAGTCCATCCTGATATTCAGGAAGACAAGTAAATGCATCAAGAGATTGGCTTGGATGAGCTCCAGTGCAAAAAGGCAGCATATGGGACATGGAAGCAAGGACAGGCTGTAAAGGAGAAATTTCAAAACACTGTCCAGGCATGTAAGGATGGTGTCAGGAAAGCCAAAGCTCAGCTCTAGTTGAGACTTGCAAGGATGTCAAGGGCAACAAGAAGGGCTTCTATGTTACATTCGTAATAGAAGGCTGAACAAGCAAAGTGTGGGCCTGTTGCTGAATGGGTGGGTGAATTTAGTGACAGGAGAAACAAGTAAAGCGGAGTTACTAATTGATGTCTTTGCTTCAGTCTTCATTGACAAGGTCTCCTATGCCTCTGTGCTTAGAGGCAGGGTTCAAGGAGGAGAGGAACAATCAGCAGTAGATGACAATCCAGTCAGTGACTATCTGCAAGAACTCCGCCCCACCTGAGACCATGGGACAAGACAGACTGTATCCAAGGATACGAGAGAAATGGCCCCTGCCCTTGCAAGGCTGCTTTCTATTGTATTTTAAAAATCATGTCAGTCAATGCATCTCATCATTTGAGATTCCCAGATGACTGAAGGCAAATATTGCACCCATCTGGAGAAAGGTCAAAAGAACAATCCAGAGTACTACAGGCCAATCAATCTCACTTCTGTCCCTGAGAAAATGAAAGAGCAAGTCCTCTTGAAACAAATTCCTGGGCACAGGATTAAGACGAAAGTGATTGTGACAATCAGCATGTAGTCACCAATGGGTACACCATGGTGTAAATCATGTCTGATGGACATCGTTACCTTCTGTGATAAAATCATTGGATTTGTGGAAAATAGTAATGGATATAATTTACCTCAACTTTAGAAGGGCATTTGACACTGTCTCCTGTGATATTCTGTATCAAAGTTAGGACATTAAAGTCTGCATGCTTTGACAACTAGACGGACAAAAAATGGGTCGGATACTCAGGTTCAGATGGTAGTGGTCAATGGGTTGTACTCCACCTGAAGGCCAGTAAAAGTGGAGTACCACAGCAATCTATCCTGAGACCTGTACTGCTTAACAGCATTTGCTGATAAAGTTTGTGAATGGTATCAAATTGAGCACGGGTGGGAGGTGGGGGAAGATGGACCAGCTGATACATTGGAGGGAAGGAACAGACAGGCAGGGTCCTTAGACAGGATGGAAGAATGAGACAATACAAAACCTTAAAAAATTTAACAAGGACCAATGCAAGATCCTGCACCTCAGAAGGAAGAGCTCTGTGCAACAACAGGCTTGTGAACCCCAAGAACTGGTTGTGGCAAGCAGCAAGCTGAACGTGAGCCAACAGTGTGTGCCCTGGCAGCAAAGAGGGCCAACAGCATCCTAGGCTGTGTTAACAGCACAGCCAGTAGATTAAAGGAAGTGAGTAACTCCCTTTACTCGGCGTTCATTAGACTGCATACAGAATGTTGGATTCAGTTTGGGGTCCTCCAACACAAGAAAGACATTGACAAACTGGAGCAACTTCAGCAGAGGCCACCAAAATGGTGGGGGCTGGAAAACTTGCCCTGTGAGGAGAAGCTGGGGGAACTGGGCTTGTTCAGCCTGGGGCAGAAATGGCTTTGGGGGGACCTAACAGCAGCTCCCCAGTGCCTACAGGGAGGTCACTGAGCAGACAAAGCCAGGCTCTTTACAGTTGTTGCATGGCAGGAAAAGAAGAGACAACAGGCACAATTTGAAACAAGAGGTTCAGACTGGATACTCAAGCACTGGCACAGGTTGCCCACTGAGGTTGTGAAGTCTCCATCTCCGGCGGTTTTCAAGACTGGATGAAACCCCAAGCAGCTTGGTCTGACCTCAGAGCTGACCCTGCTGTGAACATCTTAAAAGACATGTGGTCAGAAAGCCTGAGAACCAGCTAACTGGTAATAATGGGTAAAATGGCAGTCAAGCAGACCTTGGCTGAATTAGGGAAAGGTCCAGCTTCCATCAGCTCCAGTAGGAATCTCAAAAAAATTACTCTTGAGGCACTAGAGAGGAACTGGGATGATAAATGCACCACGAAGGTGCACTTATCAGACACTTAGCCAGACATAGACACCTAGTTAACTTTTTAGTGCTATTAACTCCCACATAATCAAGAAAGGATAAGGCAGCCTTTCCCACTGTACATCAATCAAGAAGTCACGAGCTGCACCACAACAGTAAATAAGCAATGCTTGTCTGGCAGTAAGCAAGCCAACATGAGTAAGAATGTGATTATCCCGATGAACACCCTAGATCTGAGAAGGGAAGTTCTGGATATGCACTAAAAGCTTGTCAATGTCCCTTTTATGAGAACCATAGAGACTGAAGAATTTGCATCCTTAACTCTCTTTTTATTACCTAATTATCAAAGCAAAGAGGAGAAAGCTGCAGAAGACAAAGGCAAGGAGTTACGGTTATCAACTCTTTCCTGAAGACTCAGATCATACAGATCAAGAAGCATGAATCTGAACTGCTCATAGTCTTATCCAACCACAAAATGCAGGAAATGTATGTAGAGTGGCCTGACTACCACAGAAAAGAATGCAACTCAGGTCAAGAGTCATTAAGCAGTCTCTTTCCTGAACAGCTTGTAGACAGTTCCCTGGAATGCAATACTGTGTGGTATCAATACCGTAGAAGTCACACCTGTCTAACCCTAAATGGCTGAGGTTGAAAGGTGGATGAAGGAACTGAAACCTCCAACTACTGGCAACTATGAATCATAAACTACAACACTTATACTGCTCAACATGACTGAAATCGCTGAAGTACAGGTTTTCCAAAAGGTCTCTGAGGTCAGTAAGAGTACGGAGAACACTCTGGTCTCTGGTTCAAAGACAGAAGAACTTTCAAAGGACACATGCTCAAGGAAGCATTAAATTTCCTTTAAGAAATTAGCACTTAGAAGTCACAATGACCTTCAGATCAACAACTGGAAGAACAGAATGGGAGAACACATCCATTGCATGAGACCAACATGGAGAAATTTGAGAGTATTCAACTCGCTTAAAAAATGGACTGGAAACATTCTTCAGTATCAAAAGGAAGGAGGCTCTGAGAAGAACAGCTGCCTTGTTAAGTAACATGAACCTTTATTTGGTGCCAAGAGTGTGCCAATCAGCATTTAGTCAGCCTTTTTCCTCGCGTTATCTACCCATGGAGCATATGTGTTCCCAGAACACACTCTGGCATGTTCTGGCCTTCTCCAACACAGTAAGGGAGGTCACCTAGTCATACAGGTATATTGGTGCTCTAATTATATGGAAATTTAGTATTTCACTCAATGTTCTTGATTGACACACAACCAGCAACCTTCAAATTGCCTAGCGGGCTCTAAAACATCACTGGCAGGAAGTGAGATTCAGGAAGAGAAGCATTACTGTGGGATGTGGAACAGGCTGAGATACAATTCTATCCCTTCACTGAGGCAATAAGCAGAGACCATCCTCCTCCATAAATACTCTGGAAAGGACCACTGGTTATCAGGGTTTACTGACCATACCCTGTCATTAGTATAAATGCTTGCCTGTTACACCTTAACAGCTGGGCTCACAGACTTTGGCACCTGAAGCCAACCCAGATCAACTTACAGGGGATATGCTATCTACATAAGCAATCTTGGGAACCCAAGACAATTTTGGATGAGACTCATGCACCAACCACAAGATTATGATATTTACATTTCACCTTGTTCACATGAGCCTCTTATTCTAACAGTGAGGAGTCTGAGCAAAAAGTTTGCCCCCACATCATGCAACATCATAGGAAGTTCCTAGATGTAGTAGAAATGACTGAGGCTGAAGAGTGCAGAACTGAGGTGGACATGGGTACACCTTGCTAACTCACAGCTGCTGGCAGCAGCTGTTGCCAGCTGAAAAATCA